AAAGAAAAAGAAAAAAAAAAAAAAAAGGGAAAGAAAAGGGAAACAAGGAAGGGGGAAAGAGGAGGGTGGAGAGTTGAGAGAAAAATGAGAAAGGGAAAGAATGATGCCGCTGGATTGGTGTTGATGTCGGTGCTGGAGAACAGGGAAATAACAGAAATGGCAGGGAGGGATGGGGGTTGAAGATAAGGGGAGGGTTAATATTTTAATTGTATATTTTTTTTATTAAATTTATTAAAATGATTAAATCATTATTTTCTTTTCCACATAATTTTTTTGAAATAAAAGTATTAATTCTTGGCAAGTTAACGTGCCAGCTAGGCACTTCTGTGATGGAAGGACCATTTGGGTTCTAAAAAAATAAAGTTTAAGGATGGTTTGGGCCCCTTCTGAAGTTAAAGGATGAACTAAGATTCGAAATGAAAGTTTAGGGACCAAATTGGGTATTAAACCTTACAGTTACTATATGAAGACAACACTTGTAATCCTTTTTCTTAATAGCATATTACAGTATTCCTCAAAAAAAATTTTAATTTTTGATTTATTAATTACTATCAACATGTTGTTACTGTCCCCTAAATTATGGTAATGTGGCTAAAAGCTTAAATTTTCATGTTAGAGATATCAAATTTGAATTTTATAATAGTTAAGGTGGAGTTTAAAAAAAAAATTTTTATTGTATAACTAATCATGTAACATTAAAAAAAATGTTAATACTTTGTTTTAAAACATTTATCTTCTTTTAAATTATTCTAGAAAACGTCATAGAAAAAGTTATTCAATTGATATATTCCTCAAATCAATTTTGTTGGTTTTCTTAGTGGTTTAATTTTTATGTCGACATATCATGTGGTATCACATCAACTGAGTTAAATAAAATTACGTTTTAATTCTTAACCAACCTCAGTAACTACTCCCTCTGTTAATCATTAGTCGTTTTAGTTTGATTTTTTAACTTTTTGAATATTAATTTTAGATAAAAATTTAATATAGTATGTCATCAACAATTGATTTTTTTTTAATCAAATAAAATTACTCAATATAAATTATATACAGAAAAAAAAATTTCAGTTGTCATTCACATGCTTTATTAAATTTTTAATATGAGAAAGCAGACTTCAAAATTTCCGAAGTTTTGACTGAACCAGCAGTAATGGTATGTAACAGATTGTCAGTCATAAGTTGCACAAACAATGAATCTGTGTCCAGAATTTCTTCCATTGAACTAAAGAATATTGCTCCAATATGCAGTTGAGAAACTCAAAAGTTTTCAGGACTGTCATCTAATTGTTTCTCATCTTCTATATCAACCTCCAAAATTTCCTGAGAAAAGATGATAGAGTACAAGACATCAAAATGTGAAGATCCTAATATCAAATGTAGAGCTAGGAGATGAGCAAGTTACTTACTGGAATTCTCTGCTTCAAATAATTACCAACTCTAGCAACAACTGTGGAACGTTTGTGCCAAAATCGACCTTTGAGACTAATCTTCACAAAAGGTCCATCTAACTCGGAAAGTTGAACTTCCCCTAAAGCATTTATAGAACGGTTCAACCTAAACATTGTATTGAACATGCTAAAATGATTGAATATAGAAGCAAAATGTACCTTAAGCTTAGGAGGAATCACCTGTTATTCCAACAGAGGTGTCAAACAGTTGAGCTAGCTGCAAAAAACACACACCATTCTAAAACTAAAGACAACATTGAATAGATAATCTAATTTAGAGAAGTGGGTTCAATACCATGCTAACCTAAGCATTAATTAGGCATTGTGGACCTGGTGAACACAATAAGGGTATGGTTATGACCACACTTACTCTCTCTAGTTTCACTATCAAAAGTAGTTAATAACTATAACCATTGATAAATAATAAAATAGTTGATATTTAATATTTACTATATTAAAATCAGTCCATACAATCTATACACTAATACTTTGCATTTAGACAATAATACATATACCCTATCCATTACACACTAATCCTCCATTACTTAATCTGTTAACTTCCCGTTAATTTTGTGTTCAGATCAGTAACTTATTTTTAGTCAACCGCCTATATATAATAGATCAAGTAATGAAAATTATTAGAATGTAAAAATGTGTAACAAAGTAGGTATATGTACTATTTTCCTTTGCGTTTAACACTTTAGTGCATGACCATAACCACACCCATATAATAAATAGTACAAAAGTATCCATCGAAGTAGAATACCATACAAATTGATTCAATTAGAACAGTTCAAGTGGAAAAATAAAAACAAAAAAAGAACTAAAATTTTATACTTGCCTCAACACGGGCATCGGCTAAGACTTGTCTGACATTGTCTTCTGTCAAGTCCAATGGCGGAAGTGGAACTCCTGACGCTGCTGCCTTCGCTGCCAATGATGGTAAAGATGGTTTTCCATTAATTCCTTGACTACGTCTTACTGATTTCCCCATCGTCATCGCTGCTATTCTGTTCCTGGTAAAGGAGCGGCTACGAAAGCAATTGGAGGGAGTAGAGACAGTGAGCGTCAATATTGTATTGGGTATGTGGTGCCGGAGAACCATGAACTCCATTGGCGACGGCTTTCTTTCAGTTTCAACGTTCCGCCGCCTTCTGGCGAATAAAATGGATAAGGTCATCAAGGTTTTAAGCTAACATATGGAGACGTGGCCTTCTGTGCACCATTTAAAATATTACATGCGAAATGAAATATCCAAGCTGGAGTCTTTTTTGGCTAATGGTTAATGTTAAATTTGATACTCTAATTTATGATATATTTGATAATTATAATTTCCCTTCAATAGAAACAAAAATTGTAAAATTTAAAGTACATGCTATTCGAGTGAATTAGATAGATTAAAGAGAGGAAGACCTTACTTTTCATTTTACAATTTAAGATAACAAAATTAAAATATATTTGTTTAAAAATTAATTTTATTTAAAAAATGGTTCAAAAATTTTTTTACAATATCTTATAATTAAAATTTTATTAAATTCTATTGCATCGTTATTTTTTTAATGTTTAGGAAGAGTTAATATCGAAAAAGTTTTTTAAAAAAATGTGTCTTTTAAGTCAAAGTGGTGAAATTCAATCATTAAGACGGGCGTAATGTAAACAAACAAGTTTATAAGCTCATTACAGCCTAGCATTGGTGATCCGAGCAGCAGCAGACATGATCCACACATACATTATATAACATACTACCAAGCTGGTCTCAAAGGCCAAGATTATCCTTCAAAGTTTGTTAAAATTTCTAATGTGACCTATATTTTGAATTTTTATCCGCTGCAATGAACATGTAGAGGGAAGGACATTCAGGGTTGTATGTGTGTGCCTCCTCACAGATTCAGCGGCAAATAATCAAGGGCTTCGTTTCCTCTAATCACTAGTTCTGTCTTGACGTCCACAGGTAGCAGTGTTCTACTATACACGCAGAGAAATCTCCCAAAATTTTACTAGAAAACTCCAAAGTATGTAGCTGCAGCAAAAACCAGAAAAAGTGCTCCACCTAGATAACCCACCTGGTTGAAGATGGAATTGGATGCATTAAAATCGAACTGTGATTTTGAACCTCTAATATGGTAATGGAAAAGGATAAGCTACTTTATCCAAAAAAAAAAACAAGTTGCAGCTACCAGTTTTTCGGAAACGTAGTTGGCAAGAAATGCTCCTCCTAGAACTGCAATAGATGTTGCAAATAAGTGTCCAGCAATGGCTCCACTAGCCACACCCCATGCAGACTGTAAATGCAAAGTGACAGAGATTGTTGAAATGTGCTATGGATCATCATAGAAGAAGTTATTCACCATAAGAGTGAAAGTTAGCAAAGTTGCACCTGTGCAGCAGCAAGGGCAATTGTTGCAAGCATTGAACGGTCTCCCCATTCCTGGAAGCAGTGAAAAGAACATTAAGTTTGAGAACACACTCCAGGAAAGTATACACTTGATGCATTCAGATGAAATTTGCCTGTAAGTAATTATCGCTACCACTTATGGGCTTTATTAAAATGAAATCTTGCCATTCCCAAAACAAAAATGTTGAATCAATTTTTACCCAATGTTAGTGCCACATCCTTAAATAAAGGAATCAGTTCAATATTAGATGTCTAGAGAGATTGCTAGTCTACTTATTAATTTTGCTTCTCATCTCAGCTAACACCCACAAACAATGTGGCACAAGCCAACTGAGTTTACCCCAACATCATTACGGCTAACATATTGAAACACAAAGAACTATCCTTAAATTTTGAACCCACGTTATAATGGTTTGAGACCTTGCTCAAGGCTTCATTTTGGCCTCCACATCTACTCTTTACTTTTGTTCCTTGTCTCAGCTAACCTCTAATTTTGTTTCTTTTTAACTTTGGCCCCACTTCATTATGTAAGTACCTCAGATTGGACACTACTTTGAATGTGCAAATGAGCCTTATGGCTAATATATTGAATAAAACCTCAAATCTGAGGTTAGATCTTTGCGATACTGGAAGTACTAGACGTTTTAATGAATCACATAACCTTGAGAACTGATTAAAATTTATCAAATGCAAAAAGGCCAAGCCAACTTCTATTTTACTAGAAAAAATGTCACTTCAAAAAGGATAAATGGATACTTACAGCAAAGAATGTAAGGCTAAATGATTTCCCAACAATTTCAAATGGATTTGAGAGCCGTTTTGAAACCTGAACACATCAATCACAGTCAGTATTCATAAATGTTTTTGGTAAAGGACATCCTTTCCTTTATCTCCATCACACTCACACAGTCACATACATAGACCAAAAGGTGTTTACCTGAATGTGTACACAATGCATTCGCATAGAGTTGTTCTAAAATCAATATTCAAACAAAAAGGACATTAAAGCGGGTCATTGGAACAATACCTTTTCTTTAACAAGTTCCTCGGCTTCCACAAATTCATCAAGTTCATGGCTGCTCTTGTCACCTTTTTTGTTTGTGGTTGGTGGTAGGTCCCATGCATCTTTTATAGATTTGAGGCCAAAGAACACTAGAAGAGCTATGGCTACATATTCTCCAATTGGCAAGGCTGTCCAGTTGATCAAATGATAAAGTAGTTATGCAAGAAAATCATAAAAAATTGAAATGGCTATTAAGAAGCACAAATGCCATTTTCTTTGATTTAAATCTCAAAGATTTAAAATAATGATAATAGTCACAGATACAGGATTCGACATAACAACTCACTTGTCTGAAATTGAGCAGGAACTGATCGAAATATCCGTCCAATCACCACTGACAAGATGGTCATAAGAGAAAGCGCAGCCATTGATCCCAAAAGAACCTTGCCAATGATTCAAACCATGATCCATCAAGAAAGATGACAGAATTAACATAACAGTGGAGACTTCCATATAAGCTTCCATTAAGATTTAAGAAACAAATTCACTTACCAGGCACATATCGTCATTTCAGAAAAGTACTTCCGAGTATAAAAGTGAGACAGATGCAAAATATAGAGATAAAGAACAGGTAACAAACACAGCAGAGAAATAGAAAGTTAGGAGAGAACATACCAGTCCTTTCTCATATTGCATGGCCAACAGTGCAGCAATAAAAAAGGTCTGGTCAAGACAGAATGTGTTACTAAGATGCACTACATTGGCTAGAAGTAACATATATCATCATTTAAGTCAAAAGAAGAGGCATTTTTTGGTTGAAAAGAAAAGAAGAGGTTGGGTTACTGTTCATAACCTTAGGAAATTAGCTTAATGATTTTTCATTTAATAATACAAGTATAATAATAGTCCAATCATATAAGTGAATGGAGAATTTTATTACAGCTAAGAAAAAAAAAATGACAGAGAAATGCATCAAATATCAACATGAAAAGTGCATATAACTATATAAAACAATTAAATTTGTAATTAAAAAAAAAAAAAAGACACCTAAAAATTCTCAAGTCAACTTGTTTGCACTCTAAGCCAGATATTCAGTTTAAAATAAATAAATAAATAAAAGCTTCTTCATTGGAAGTTTTAATGGCACCAAATATGCATATAAAAGTTTTCCCGATGAGTATCACCAAAAGGATCCAGAAATTTTCCATAAGAAGATTATCTTGAGCTATTCACCCTCACTCAACTCAAGGGAGAATGACCCACACAAAAAGAAACTCAAGGAAGAATGAAAGAAACAGCCCCACCAAATCCATTTTACCTTAAAGTACGATAGAAATATTGATTATCTGTTTTAGCCACATTAACCTTTTGTGACCTGCAAAGCTAATTATCTCTCTAGAAAATTCATTTCAAATTTCAAAATTATGAATGATGGCTAATTATGACAACTCAACTTTGTACCTACTCAGACATGAATTTACATGCACTTTCAAGTGAATCGTTGCACTACATCTCTCACTGAAATAAGGATGACAGAGTAGTTTGTTATTATGAAAGAAAAACAGAAGTTCATGATGCATCTCTATATGACTACATTGCCAGAATGACGGAATAATTCTACAATCTTCATTCATTTTAACAATTGGCATACTCGATCACATTATTTCCAGTCTTCCCTCTAGGGGTTCTCCAATAATTAAGCCTTCAAATTTTGCTGATTTTAGCAAGATAGATGTGCAAGGTTGATATAGTTGCAGCATATAAGGAACTTGTTCAAAATAAACCAATCTAAAGTTCTAAAAGAGACAACAAGTGAGACAAGTACATGGTCTAGCATATGTTGAAATAATTTCTAATGGATTAAATATTAGAGGGTAGACGACCATGATACGTGTTAACCACAATTACCTTATCTCCAATTTCGGAAACAAATATTAATGTGAAGGCAGCAGTCAAGCCTGACTTTGCAACTGCTGATAAGAATGATGAAGGTCCTCCTTTTGCAAAGGCAATCAGTGAAAACACTAAAGCACATCCAAAGAGCACAATAGCTATGGAGAGAGGATAAGGAATTTGACCAGGAGGCTTCAATCTGCAAAAGCATGAAAGATGTGCATGAGTAAAGACTGAACATAGAAAGATGAAGTTAACTCTTGTAATATGAACCAATATAGAGATGGATTACGCCTTTTTTTTAGTTCTTTTTTTGGTTTCTTGCTCACGTAGTCTCTTTCTCCAGAAGTAAGCAGTAAAATATTGGAAAGTTGGAATTTCAAGATTTATTAGAATGCCACTTACATTTCAGAAGAAGTGTCGCTTGCTGAACCCTTAAGCTTGTCTTTTTCCTCCCGGCCATCATAGCCTCCAGATCCAATACCAACATTGGATGCTTGTGCTCTTAATGTGCTGAATCTCGAACTCAACGTTGATATTTCTTTATATCTTACTACAAAAGGCGGTTATGAGATATTTTACTCAAGCATGTTGCTTATCCTAGGAAGGAAGAATCAAAGGTTCTTTCTAAACATAAATTGCAACAGTTAACAAATATTTAAGCATTTTTAAATCTTTCTCCACCCCAGATCTTCCTTTCTAAATCTCTGGTTACCATAGTTAATTCCACATATGCCTAACTAATTCCATCTTCCTCCACCAACCCAGATAATCAAAATTACACCTATCCCATCTAAATTAAATGAAACAAAGATTCACAATCCCATTCACAACGGAAAGAAACTTCTGAAAACACAAAACTATACTAATAAAAAACAAGACTTGGAAGAAAAACTTACATGAAGGAGATGTGGGTTTTCTTGATATGCTACCAAAACATGGAAATGAGTCTACAAGAGGCAGTAAAGGAAGCCTCCCTCTTGAAATAACCGGGGGCCGGTGAAGAACCAATCTCTGCATTTTCAGTTCTTATCGTCGGTAACTGTTCTTACAAATTCATTTCCGACACTGGCCCCAAAAAACAACTGGGGTGCTTCCGACACTTTTGGTCTGAAAATCTGAGGAAATTAAGAGTGGGAAATTGGGAGTTTGAGGTTTAATTTGAAGAACAGTTCCCTGTAAAAGGCTCTGTTGAGAGTGTGTTGAGAATGGGAGGAGATTGTTGCTATCTGCCACGTGGCTGATGTAGATAAAACGAGAAGCTTCCGCACTGGAAATAAAAACGACGTCGAGTCGGTCAAAAACCAACATTCACGCAGTACAGTAGGCCCACGTGCATGCAGAATCCGCAATAATACTAGCTGGACGGGGCCCAAAACAATAAAAAAACTAGCCCAGGCCCAGGTTGTAGCTGAAGGCCGAAGTCACTTGCATGCGGTGGTAACTTAGCCAAAAAGGCGCATATTCTCTTAAAATTTAAAAATGTCGTGTCCGATCAAATTGTCACTAAAAAAAATATGGACATAATTCATTATCTTAAATTTTTATTTTATTTTTACAAAATTATTTTAAATTTAATGATAATTATTAACCTTTTATTAAAATTTAAGAGTAATAATTTAAATCAATTTCTTAAAAATAAAAATTTAAAATAATAAACTAAGTTAATATTTTTTTAAGGTGATAATTTACTTCAACATAATAATTGTATACACATGTAACTTAACTTGTACTGTTTGCAAAATTGTTTAAATAATTATTGTTTTTTATTTTTCCTTTTTTCTTCAAATTAAGAATGTGAGTATAATTTGTGTGTTTATTTATTATATTTTAAAAAATACTAAAATATAAAGAGTGATTTTTTATGTTAGAATGATTAATTAAAATAAATAAATAATAAAATTAAAGTAAAATAAAAATATTTTTGTATTAAAAAAGAATTAATTTAACACAAATTTAAAATAAAAAACGATAACAATTCAATTATTTTGAGATGAGAAGAGGAAAAAAGTAAAATAAAAAGATCTACGTGCTATTATTAATTAATAATCTATTATATTATTATATTATTAGTTTTTATTAAATAATTTATTTATAATATTATTTTTATTTATTTATTTAATATTATATTATAATTATAAATTTATAACGTATTGCAATTATAGCATTCTAGAAGCCAAATAAGTATTTCCTAGTTGTAACTAATTCTGACGTGGCAATCACGTGCATAACAGTGGGCAACCGGGCACTATCCACCTACTTGTGCGACCCAACGAAGCACTAACATGAGGAATCGGTCTATTGGACCCCTGCCTTCCTTTCACGTGCACAGTGGGTCCCACTGCCGTTCATATGCACGCAAAGGACAATGCACCCCGAGGCTTTTTTGGTAAATACAATGCATCCAGAGGTTGTACTACTGTACTAGTGTCTAGACTCTAGTAGCCTTTGTGCATCGCATCCCACCGGATGATCGCCGCCACGTGCGGTTAATCGTTTAGTCATAATGCCACGTGGCAGTATGCTATTCGATTAGTTGACGTGTTGTGTCGGAATTCATTGGAGAACGGCATGGGCCGTCGTCCCCCTTTTCCCTCTGGAGCAGGCCGCTTACGGCAAGCGGCCCGCCCCACTTTCGGTTTACCCAATCTTATTTCCTTACATATATGTACTCTCTCTTTAATAAAAGGTTTAAAGGGAATTTACGTAACTTAGGTGGTACAGGTAAAAATATATTTATTATATTTTTTTATAATTAATTTATATTAAAAATTAAAAAATAATTTTAATTTTATTAATTATCTAATCAAAAGTATATATATGGTGTTGATTATAAAAATGAGGTTAATTTTTTTATTTTTTATAAAAATTAAATATAAAAAGGTAAAACTAATGTACTCTTAACTTATATTTTAATAGTATAGATTAAACAAACTCAAGGTTAAATATCAAATTAAGTCTCTAAATTTATAATTTTAAATAACTTTAGTGTTTAAATTATTTTTTATTGATAAAAATACACTTTTTTTTAATATTTATGTTAATTTTGTCTGTAAATTCTATCCAACTAATATTTTGTAAATTTTCTTTAATGACCTGAAAGTACATAAAATAAAATTTAAAAAACTAAAATATACAACAAATACTAGTTTACAGACAAAAATATGCATAAAATAAAAGTTTAAGAACTAATAAAAATATTTTTTTAATAGTTGATAAATGAAAAAAGTACAAAAAATAATTTAGTAACTAATATTGTTTGGAGTTAAAAGTCTAGGATTAAATTTAACATTTAACCCTAATAAAATAAAAATATAATAATTATTGATCTCATATTTCCTAGTTAGTGACTACTTAATATAAGTAATTTTATTATAATAGATATTATAATAACATTAATTATATCTTTTTATAATTAATTTATATAGAAAAAACAATAGTTAATTTTAAATTATCAATTATCTAATTAAAATTATTCAAGTGGTATTTGTGTTAAAAATAATATC